GAATAAATGGAGAAGCTGAGTTATCTAGAAATCCCTTCTGTCCTTTGAGATTCAGATGCTCAAAATACACTTAGACCTGTTGTTCTTATCAAATAAAACAATTGCTTTTAATTTTGTGAACAAGTTTGGATACTCTGCTCTGGAGGGAAAGTGCTTTCCCACTTATTTCAGTGGGTCCTCTCCTTTTCATTTATTTAAAAATTTTATTTAAAAGTTTAATTTCTTTTAATTTTTTATTTTTCAATTACAATTTATATACTGTTATGCCCAGATTTCAATATCCCCAAGGACCACCAGGGAGCTGAGTCCGATAAAAAAAACAAAAGAGCTTTATTCAAACTCAAGTCTGGTCTCCCTGCCCCTACTGACAGCAGCGGCAGAATGCAAAGAGCCCCGAGCTCTGAAAGTGTGGTCTTTTTATAGGTTTTAGGGTTGGGTGGTGCGGTGATGCTCCGACCACTGAGCTGGCTGGTTCTGATTGGTGGGGTGAGGGCCAGGGTCCAGTTACACTGGGTTACTTCCCTCTGTATTTCTGTTGGTCTGTTTTAAGGGTGGGTTGAGTAATTGATACATTTTGTGGTCTTTCTCGGAAAGGGGTTATGTTGGAGACATATTAATAGTTATACAAGGTAGTTACATAGTACAAAATGAAGTCAGTCCTGCTCTGCCCTTGAAAGAAGGCTTACATGCTGGGAAGGGGCCATGAGCCGGTATCTCAAGGCCTGGACTGGTGTCAGCACTGATAACTCTATAGTCCACGGCCTCTCTGGAAGTATACTCCAATATTCTCACTCTCTTACATATACAATATTATATTAATTTCAGGTGTATAGCACAGTGGTTAGAGATTTATATAACTTACAAAATTATTTCTCAGATAAGTCTAGTACTCACTTGGCACCATACATAGTTATTACAATGTTATTGACTGTATTCCCTATGCTGTACTTTACATTTCTGTGATTATTTTGTAACTGTAAATTTGTATTTCTTGATTTCTTGATTTCTTTATTTTACAGAGAGGAAGAGAGATGGATAGAGAATTAGAAACATTGATGAGAGAGAAACATCAATCAGCTGCCTCTTGCACACCCTCTACTGGGGATGTGCCCGCAGACAAGGTACATGCCCTTGACCGGAATCGAACCCAGGACCTTTCAGTCCGCAAGCCGACGCTCTATCCATTGAGCCAAACCAGTTTAGGCAAATTTGTATTTCTTGATCCTTTTCTCTTTTCCACCCATTGCCCACCTCCCCTCCCATATGGCAAATATCAGTTTGTTCTCTGTATCTATGAGTTTGTTTCTGTTTTGTTTGTTCACTTATTGTTTTTTATATTCCACATATAAGTGAAATCATATGGTACTTGTCTTTCTCTGACTGATTTATTTCATTTAGCATCCACAAATGGTAAAATTTCATTCTTTTACATATGGCCGAGTAATATTCCATTGTGTCCCCAAAATATATATACACACACTTTGAAAAATTATAAAGACAGTGTTTATTAAAATAAATTTAATTTTCAAAATTGAGCTATCAGCTGTTAAAGTGTGTATACATATTTTGGGGATATCCTTTATGCACCTTCTCTTCCTTTGGCTGCACATTGCTTTACAAAGCAATTTGCTGTGGAAGAGGGTTACTTCCGTACGTTGGCTATTGTAAATAATGCTGCTGTGAATATAGAGATGCATATATGTTTTTGAATTAAAGTTTTAGATTTCTTCAGATAGGTAACCAGAAATGAAATTGCTGGGTCATATGGTAGATATAATTTTGATTTTTTTGAGAACTTCTATCTTCTTTTCCAGGCGGCTGTACCAATTTGCAGTCCCATCAACAGTGCACAAGGGTTCCCTTTTCTTCACTTCCTCACCAATACTTGTTGCTTGTTGATTCATTAATGAGAGCCATTCTGACAAGTATTAGGTGATATTTCATTGTTTTTTAAACTGCATCTCACTGATGATTAGTGACATTGAACATATTTTTGTATGTCTTTTGACATCTGTATGTCCTTTCTGAAGAAATGTCTGTTTAGATCTTTTACCCATTTTTAAATTGGATCGTTTGTTTTTATGTGTGTTAAATTGTATGATATATATTTTTTGATGTTAATCTCTTATTGAATGTATCATTAGTGAATATCTTCTCCAATACCGTGGGTTATCTTCTTATTTTGGTGATGATGTTTCCTATGTTGTGCAAAAACTTTTTAGTTTGATGTAATCTTATTTTTTTTCTTTTGTTTTCTTTATCTAAGAGAACATATCTAAAAAATTATTACTAAGAGCAATGTCAGAAGTTTTACTGCCTGTGTTTTCTTTTAGGAGTCTTATGGTTTTGGATCTTACATTTAAGTCTTTAATCCATTTTGAGTTTATTTTTGTATATTGTATAAGAAGGTGGTCTAGTTTCATTTTTTTGCATGTATCTCCAATTTTCCCAACATCATTTAATGAATAAACTGTCTTTACTCATTGTATATTCTTATTCCTCGGTCATAGATTAATCAACCATGTAGACATGGGTTTATTTCTAGGTCCTCTATTCTTTTTTAAAAATATTTTTTTTACTGTTGACAGTATTACAGATGTCTTCCATTTCTCCATCTCTTTATCTCCCTCTTCTCAGCCTTCCTCCTCCCCATATATCCACCACCCTATTTTTCATGTCCATGGGCTGGGCATGTAAGTATATAATTTCTATTAAAAAAAAAAGTATATAATTTCTGTGGTTTCTCTCTCCTCCCCTCTCTTCTGTTTCATTGGTCTATTACCTGTTTTTATGCCAATACCATGCTTTTTTTATTATTATAGTTTTGCAGTCTAGTTTGATGTCAGGTAGCATGATACTTCCAACTTTGTTCTTCTTTCTCAAGATTACTATGGCTATTTGGGTGTTTTATAGTTTCGTATACATTTTAGGATTATTTGTTCTAGTTCTCTAAAAGATACCATTGGTATTTTGATAGGGATTGTATTGAAACTATAGATTGTTTTGGATAGTATAACTATTTTAATTATGTTAATTCTTCCTGTCAATGAATACAATATATGCTTCCATTTTTTTTGCATTTTCTTCAATATCTTTCCTCAATATCTTAAAATTTTCTGAGTTACAGGTCTTTTACCTCCTTAATTAAGTTTAGTCCTAGATATTTTATATGTTTTTGATACAATTGTAAATGGGATTGTTTTCTTAATTCCTCTATCTAGTAATTCATTACTGGTATATAAAAATGCAACTGATTTCTGAATATTATCTTTTTATCATGATACTTTACTGACTTTGTCAGTTCTAATTTTGTTCTTTGGTGAAATATTTTGTGCTCTCTCTATACAATATCATATCATCTGCTAGTGAATCTTTTTCTTTACTGTAAATATCCTATATGATTACCTGACTTTCGGCAAACAGGGTACATGATTTCAGAGAAATTCCCAATTGACACCTAGCAATTCAATTCTCCCAGAACTCATTAAATTCTTGTAAATGCTGACCACGTTCAGCATGTAGGAGAAAGTTATTCAGTTTCATAGGTGATTGATGTAGGCTAAATATTTATGTCCCCCCCGAATTCATATGTTGAAACTCTCACTCCAATGTTATTAGGAAATTATATACTTAAAAAAGTATATAATTTCTGTGGTTTCTCTGGCCTTTGGGAGGGTGGAGCTTTCATGAATGGGATTGTGCCTTTATATTAAAAGGAACCTAAAGAACTCTCTTTTTCCTTCCCCCTATGAAGATATAATAAGTGGCCAGTCTACAACTTGGAAGAGAGCTCTCACCAGAACTAGACCATGTTAGCACCCTGAGTTCAGACGTTCAGCTTCCAGGAGCATGAGAAATAAATTTCTGTTGTTTATATGCCACTTAGTCTATGGTACTTGGTTACAGTAGCCAGCACTAAAGAATGTCTTTTGTTAACCAGACAGTCATTAGATTGATGTGGTTATAATATCTTAGCAGACTATGTAAGCAAACCAAAACCCAAGCCAGCCAATCAGAACTTGCCTGCTCAGCTCGTCTTGTTACCTAACCTAGCCTAAACATTCCTTGTTATTCCAGAGAAGGAGAGTAGCCATGCATTAACAGCCTGTGTTTGCCTAATTTAACTACTTCCTGATTTCTGCTTTCCTTAGGTCATAAATCCCGGTTGCTTTGTATGGCTCTTTGGAGTTCCTTTGTATTTTCATGACTGGAATACTTCCTGATTCATAAATTGCCAACCAGATCTGAAAATTAAATGTCTGTAAAACTTTATTTCAACACTTGTTTGAAATGAATTTTCATTTTCCTTTCAGCAATCCATCATTTGGATATAAGTGCAATGATTAAAATCTATTACATTGCATGTGCTAGAGAAAATAGTGCATGCTGATATTGTTACTTGTTTTTGATATCAAAACTTAAAGAAAACTGATTACAGTAAGATCTTTCTGTGTGAAATTTTGGGAGAAGAGGCAGAAATCCAGTTCTGACATTACTAGTATTTTTTTAAAAAGTCATTTATTAGGTTTATTCTTTCTATATCATTCTCAATGAAAGGACTTTAAAGTTACCAAATGGAAATGGATTATGTGTCTTAAAGAAGATGCCTTTGTGATCGGTGAAACAGAATACTGCTGGTCTGCCAAAGTGGGCAGAGAGTGAGTTGCACCACTGGCAACTGGAGAAGGACAGAGTTGTGGAATAGAACATTCATTATGGCTGTGAGTTCCCACCAGAGGTATGCCAAATGATCCCTCATTCTGGAGTGGAACCTCATATTACATGAAAGAATTGATAAAAAGGGGGAATGCTGTTGAAGGAAACAGTGTGCAGTTTTAATTTGTGTAGGAATAAAAAAATGGTGCTCTGAAGTAGAATTTCAGGGTTAATTTAGCTCCACAGGGAGAAAAAAACTGATGGTTTTTGGAAGTATGGCCTTGCCAGGTGAAAATCAATCCTAGGACAAAGATTCTCCCTCCTTCCCTCCCTCCTTCCATATTGTTGCAGAATGCATGGGAGAACGATCAGCCAGCACTGAGGGAGGAAAGTTTAACCTTTATTTCGCAGATCTGCTCGTCCAGGGGAATTCCGGATCCAAAGCCTGAACTGAACTTGTGGGGAGGCTCTGTTCTCATGTCTCCTCCTGTGGAGGGCCCCTGATGGTCCCTGCAGCTCCGTCCAAGTCAGTCTTGGCAGGGCCTTGGGGGCATGCTCCAAAGCTCTGCTTAAGTCAGCTGTGGTGGGGCTGTTTTCACCAGATACTGAACTAGGTTGCCAGCCCCCCACCCCATTTTCCTTTTCATTCGCCTGTCATATTCCACTGTAGGAAGTGGCTCTTGGGTCAAGGCTTGGGCTGACTTGTAGCTGGGCCACAAACAAATCCCAGCCCGGAGGGCTGAGCTCTCCTAGCATAATTAAGCCTGACCTTGTAGCCCTCCCTGATTCCTTCCTAAGTAACTAATTGGCTGTGGGAGGTGCATCAAGTGTTGCCAAAACAAGAACATTTGTGTACTTATTAATCTACCCTTGTTTTAATCAGACTATAAAATAAAGCATCAGTTTGAAGGCTGGGTCATCTGTGTCCTCATCCAGGCAGTGGAGATCCACTGAGACCCTCTTGTCTCTTTTCCTGAATCCTTTGCCACCCCTCCTCAGGTTCACCCTTGGCCATGCTGGCATGGCACATTACACAAGCTATTCTTAGCCTTAGGGATTACAAAAGACTCAGGAATTGGGGATAAGATTGATGACCACTCTAGCTACTTCCTGCTGAAGGGGGGCAATGAAAAAGGAGGTTCAGCATCCCATGTCTTCCCCATCTTCCCAAGGGGGTTGTCAGAGTAACAAGGAGAGAAGTTCTCCTCCCAGTACCAGTCTGGGGTACTGGTAACAGTTGTATGAAGAGAGAATAAAATTGTTAGCCAGATAGGAGGGAATAAAGAGATTCAGGTTGGTCAGCCGAATCCTCCATCTTCTTCTTTTTCTTCTTTTTTAAAATATATTTTATTGATTTTTTTACAGAGAGGGAGAGGGATAGAAAGCCAGAAACATTGATGAGAGAGTAACATCAATCAGCTGCCTCTTGCACACCCCCTACTAGGGACATGCCCATAATCCAGGTACATGCCCTTGACCGGAATCGAATCCAGAACCCTTGAGTCCGCAGGCCGACGCTCTATCCATTGAGCCAAAGCAGTTTTGGCCTCCATCTTCTTGAGGATGATCCACAGTGGGTGGTTCAGGTCAGAGGCCACCTTTCACTCTGGATGCTGGTTGTCCAGCTGGTGGGCTGCTTTCACCCAGGAGTGGTGGATCCAGGTGTTCAGTCCTGCAATTTTGAGAGCTGAGGGGTGGTTAGTACGACTGGATAAGGTCCCTTCCAGATTGGCTTAAGAGGTTCCTTTTTCTTTCCCAATCTTTTACCCAAAGCTGGTCCCCAAGCTTGTACGGGTGCACAGCTGTTACTAGAGAGATGGGCAATCAATTAGTAACCCATCTGTGGACTTCAAGGATAGTTTTCCCAAGTATAATATTATACTTCTAGCTGTTTCTGAATTTCTAAATTCCCTATTTCCCCCAAATATCCCTTTGGCTGAATTAAGATTTTCAAATGGAGAGAACCCTATCCTGGCTCTCAGAGCACAGTGCACCCACAGGAGCACAAGTGGTAAGTATAAGGTTCTCCCTCCTCCCAACTGGTGGGCGGAGTTATGACATTACTGGCATCTGTCACAGAGACATCCCCAATACACTGAACCACTAATCAGTGCGTGCCAAAGTGTCCTGGAGCCCACCCCTTCCTGTTCTGCCCTGGGTCCAACCCTCTCCTGTTCCTCCGCTTAAAAAGACCCCCCCCCCCCCCCCCCCCCCCTCCTTGGACCAGCAATATGCTGCTGATCCTCCATGTCCAGGTGGCAGCCCGGCTGGGTCCATCCCCCCTCCCAACTCCTTCAATTCTGATTTCTCTACCTCCATAATGAGTCCCACTCATTACTGGGGAATAAACTTAACTTTAAAATTCCTTGGTGGTCAGTTTCCTGCGCCTCAAACCTTACAGTAAGATATCTGTCCAGGGTAAGTTCGTCTCCTGGCATAGCTTAGCCATAGCCTGCTTGAGAGTCTGTTTCATGCGTTCTACTATCCCTGAATTCTGGGGCCTGTAGGCTGTATGTAAGTTCCACTTAATTCCCAAGGACTTAGATACCTGCTATACTACCTCAGCTATAAAGGCTGAGCCATTATCTGATGCAGTGGTTAATGGCATTCCATATAAGGGAATTATGTTCTTCAGTAACACCTTAGTGACTTCTCTTGCCTTCTCCATGAGGGTAGGATATACCTCAACCCAACCTGAAAGGGTGCAGACAAAAACGAAAAGATATTTATTTCCTCTTCTAGGCTCTATTTCTATAAAGTCTACCTCTAGATCTACAAAGGGAGCCTGCCACAGCGCTGAATTCCCATGGGTCCTACAGGCCCCTGCCTTGTATTATTCTGTGCACAGAGGAGGAAGTGCTGAGAGACTGAGTTGCATAAAGAGGGGAGATGGGCAATTAGATAGTATCTGCTTAACAAGGCTTCTAGAACCATCTTCCCTAAATGGATAAGTTCATGCTGCTGGATGACTACTCTATGAGCTAACTGTTCTGGAATGTAGATCCTATGATCTGGGAATATCTACCACCTTCCTTCGTTCTTTTACCCCCTTCTTATTGGGCCCATTCTTCTTTTTGAAGGGTGTATTTCAGAGGTTCAGTTAATTCAGGAACAGGCATGATCCTTGATGGCACTGCCCTCTCCTTAGCAGCTAGCCTTGCCCCGCTGCATCTGTATGATAGTTTCCTTCTGACACTGAGTCTTTTCCCCACTGATGTCCTCTACAACAAATGACTGCTACTTCCTTGGGCTCCCAGACTGCTTCTAGTAACTTCAAAATCTCGCTCTGATTTTTGATTATTTTTCCTCTGGCCATCAGGAGCCCCCTTTCCTTGTATATGGCCCCATGGATATGCAAGGTAGCGAAGGCATAGCACGAGTCAGAGTAGATGTTGGTGTGCTTATCCATACTGAGATTTAAAGCTCTGAATAGGTCCCAGGGTTTTGCCCTCTACACTAACCATCCTTCAGGCAGAGCCTGTGCCTCTGTTATCTCAAAGTTTGTTACCATTGCATACCTGGCTTGTCTTTTTCCTTCATCTAGGAAGCTACTGTTGTCCATGAACAATAGTATGGATTCTGTAGAGGCCCATTTGTTAGATCTGGCCATCTGGAGTAAACCTCCCCTAAGACTTTTAGACTGCTCTGGGGTTCCCTATGCAATGGGTAGGAAAGTGGCAGGATTAAGAGTCCTCACTGCCTCTAATCTTATTTATAGATTTTCACATAGGAGCTCTTGGTATTGAGTCATCCAAGCACGAGTCAGCCAATGTTGTCTCTTAGCTTCCATTATGGTGACAACAGCATGAGGCACTTCAACATGCTGGGAGAAATCCTAGAGTGAACTTATCTGCCTCTGACTAATAAGGCTGTGGCTGCAAGGGCCCTGAGGCATGAGGGTCATCTGGAGGCAACTGGGTTAATCTGTTTGGAGACATAGGCTGGCCTCTGCCAGGATCCCAACTCCTGAGTCAGAAATCCTAGGGCTACCCTGTCCCCATTGTTCTTGTGAACGAAAAGGTTAAAGTACTGTGTCACATCTGGGAGTCCTAGGGCTGGCACTTCGGTGAACTTTGTTTTTATGGTTTCGAAGGCTTTTCCTATTCAGAACCCCAGTTAATGGGTGCCTTTTCCTCTCCTTTTAAGGCTTCACAGAGGGGCTTAGCTAGATATGAGAATCTTGGGATCCAAATTTGACAGAACCATGCTGCCCCTAGGAATTCCGGAATCTGTTGCAGGGTGCTGGGGACTTATATTACACATACTGTCTGTTTTCTTTCAGTCCCTAGTCTTTGTTTCCCTTGGGTAATTAGGAAACGTAGGTATTTGATTTCCCTCTGATAGATTTGAGCCTTCCTTTTGGACACCCAGTAACCTGTTTCAGTTAAGAGTCGTCTTAGAAGGGTTTGTGTTCCTTCCCAACACTGAGTTCACATGGAGCTAGCCAGTAGGAGGTCGTCTACATATTGGAATAGGACACATCTTACATTCTGTCCTAGAAATTTGGAAAAATCTGCTGCTAGTGCTCCACTAAAAAGAGTCGGGGAGTTCTTGAACCCTGTGGCAGTGTGGTCCAGGTGAGCTGTTCCTTAGCCCCTGTGGTTGGTTTTCCCACTCAAAGGCAAAAGGAAGCTGACTGGAGAGTGCCAGCTGAAGACAGAAAAAGGCATCTTTTGGATCTAGACATGTAAACCATTCCTCTTCTGACAAAATGCTGCTCCCATTTTGGCCCATTAGAAAGACTAGGCAATCTGGCAAGTACAGGAATTCATGAACCACCTGGTGGCCACCTAACTGACATTGGCAGGGCAGCAGAGTGGTCTTCATGTATGGTCCTGGCAGCTCTGATAATGGTGATTTGCTGTCTTGAGAGGGGAGCTACTTTCTGAGTAACTTCCGAGTGCTCTGCCCCTGTATCAACCATAAAGTTCACAATCTGGTCCCTGATTTTTATTTCGATCATGAGGGCCCAGTTGGAAAGAGCCTGGTCAGTCCTCCTTGGAGTCAGCTGCCACCAGTCTGATGAGAAAACCTCAGAGGTCTTGGCCATATTAGTGGGCTTCTTGGCCCCAGTCCAGAGCCCCTGGAGGAAGGCCAGCCGATATCTCTCTAATCTGGCCATCCCATTCTCTGAATTCGGGTTCCATCTGGGTTTCACATCTGGGAGAACCTTTCTGGCGCATCTGACTGTGTCTAATGTCCCTGGCAGGGCCTGGATCTGGAGCCATTCCTGTTATTATCAGTCGCTCGTCCATTTTAAAAAGTCAACCCAGGCCGAAACCGGTTTGGCTCAGTGGATGGAGCGTCAGCCCCGGGGGCTGAAAAACTGACTCTAGAAAGTCAACTGTGGCTTGAGGTTTTTTCGGAATAAGTAGGAACATGATGCTTCTAATTTAAGAGATCAGCTGGTAGTGAAAGACTGATGCCCCCCTCTTGTGAGGTCCCATTTTCTCCAATTATATGAGGACCCCACATTTCTCAGACAGGCATCTGAAAAGCTGGAAGTGGTTTGGGTCCCTGATCAGCTGAGTGCAAACATTGTCCAACTGGCTCTGGAGAGTCTGGTTAGGGGCGGAGGGATGGAAGGAGGTGGTGGATCTAATCTTCCCTGGCTAAGCAGAGGGACACTGGGTACAGCTGGAGACACACATGGAAGTGGTAGAACTGGCAGAGCTTCCTGCTTATTCTCTTTCTGAGGGGCCTGCCTTTTTCCCTTATATATACAAAACTGGATCCAAAGTGGCTTTTAAGTTCTGCTATTTCTAGCCACTGGTTAATATAAGGGAACTGGTTGGGATGACCTAGGTTTATTGTGATAATTCTGTGAACATTTCTGATTATGGAAACATCCAATGTGCCCTCCAGTGGCCATCCTACTCCAAAAGATGGCCAGTCTTATTTCACACATCCTTTTTAAACTCCCAAGGGACTAGTTTTACTACGCAGTCCCCAATAAACCCCTTTTTAAAATTTCTTAACTGTAGAGTTTGAGAAGAAGCTACTACCCATGTTACAGGGAGAGTCTGGGTTGCCTCCTCTTTTTTAATTTAAATGCTTGAATAAAAGAACTAATCAAAATAAGGCTTATTTTCTAACTTCATTTGTCCTTGGGTGTGGACAGCAAATGACACTAACCAGATTTCTGCTATCAGTCTCCCTGTGTATATTGGCATACGCTATTTAACCTCTGTTTAGGGAGGCAAATGCAAATCATATACTCCCAAGTGTCCTTGGTTTAGGGAAAGACAGGATTTACAAGATGGCTCCGATGTTCTTGCTTTATTAGGGAAGACAGGATTTACAAGATGCCTTGATTTAGGGAAGATAGGATTTCTGCTCAGTTTCCCTATTCTAATGGTCCTGGCTTACTGGCCTGTCATCCATTCAACTTCCTTTCAACATTTCTCTTTACCTTCCTTCTTTACACCAAAGCCATACTTTCTTTACAATTAGTTTATTTTTTAGGTGAACTAATCAAAATAATTAACATTCCTCAGATTAGCAATACATTTATATATTTTAAGAGACACAAACAGAAATTTCACTAGCTAAACAATTTAAACAAATAAAGAGACATATTTAAACAATAAAGACAGATAACATCCCCACTAAAAACTTTGAATCACCAAGGAAATATGGGAGAGGTTTAGGAAGGTATTTTAGAAAACACAAAACAAAAACAAACAAACATAAAAACACTTTTACACCAGTGCACACCTCATTTACACCACGGAATACCACCAAATCAGTTTCAATTGCACAGAGATACAAAACAAGTCCTGAACAGAGGCAGTAGAAAACTGCCTAGGAATGCTTCTCTTCTATCCTTTTCAAAGGCAGGCCAGATTTGGACCCATAGCCAGTTCGAGTTTTTACTTCACTCCGGGGAAGTCTTAGAGATGGTGAATGCCATCTAGAAGCTGTTCCTTCTGATGATCTGAGCTATCCTGAGGTAAATAATTACCTAGGTAGGGGCCAGCTACCTCTTCTGTCCCATAGGACAGGCCAGAACTCAGACCGGTTCTCCCGGGGAAAAACTTACAGTTTCAGACATCTGATTTTGACTACCCTCTCAGGAAGTCCCAGAAAGGTGTTTCCTGTCTCTTTTGGGTCCGATGGAGCATGGAGTCGCCACAGTCCTTCAGGCCCCACGAGTTCAGGAACCAGTGAAAGTGCTGGTGGCTTGCTTTCCTTGGGTTCCAGAGCCTGAAGCAAGTGCCCCGAAGTCTGCTCTCCTCAGCAGTGGCCTAGGAGTCAGCTCAACTGATGTTTCTCGGCCAATGCACCAAATGTGGCAGAATGCACGGGAGAATGATCAGCCAGCACTCTGAGGGAGGAAAGTTTTAACCTTTATTTCCCAGATCTGCTAGTCTGGGGAATTCCAGATTCAAAGCCTGAACTGAACTCATGAGGAGGCTCTGACCAATATATCTCCTCCTGTGGTGGGCCCTTGAGGGTCTCTGTAGCTTTCCCTAAGTCAGCTGTGGCAGGGCCCAGGGGTTATGCTCTGCAGCTCCATCCAAGTCAGTCAGAGTGCGGAAGTAAGACTACAGTTTTAACCAGATACTGAATTAGGTTGCAAGCCCCCTCCCCCCACCCAATTTTCATTTTCATGCCCCCTTCAGCAGGAAGTAGCTAGAGTGGATGTCGACCTTATCCCCAATTCCTGAGTCTTTGGTAATCCCCACAGCTAAGAATAGCTTGTGAAAAAAAAGGGAGGAATAAGAGGAAAATGGGGTGGGGGCTGGCAACCTAGTTCAGTATCAGGTTAAAACTTGCAGAGCCTAACCCAGGGCCCCACCACAGCTGACTTAGGCAGAGCTTTGGAGCATGCCCCCAAGGCCCACCAAGACTGACTTGGGTGGAGCTGCAGGGATCCTGAGGGGCCCTCCACAGGAGGAGACATAGAGACCAAAGCCTCCCCTCAAGTTCATTTCAGGCTTTGGATCCAGAATTCCCCTGGACTAGCAGATCTGCGAAATAAAGGTTAAACTTTCCTCCCTTAGAATGCTGACTGACCATTTTCCCATGCATTCTGCCACAAAAGTAGCACATGTATGTTTTAGGTTGGAAGGTTAGTGGTGGAGGGTAGTATATTTCTGTGCTGCATGAGAAGTATGAGAGCTGGACCTACAAGTTTGGTACTAGTCAAAAAAGGTTGCTGTAGCTTGTGCCTACCATTCTCAAAAGCAGCCTGGAGTCTGGCCCCCTTCTGTTCTGCCCCTCTATGCTTTTTCTCCTACTTGTCCCCAAATCCTCTATAGGCCCTGGGCCCACAATATAATGCTTCCAATTAAATTCATGAAACTTTAAAAAGTCTCCTGTGAGAGGAGTTTTTTATTTTTTGAAAAGATAAGTGAAATGAAAATTTTTTTTTTTCATATTTAAGATTATTCAGATCTGTTTGCTTATTTAATTATCAGGAGTTGGGTGAGACAACAACACACATTGCCCATATTGTTACAGAATTTACCAGGTGACCGAAAAAATAAGCAGGAGTACCAGAGACAGAGGAAAACCCCATTTATTTCCAGACAGTTGACGTGTACCTGTACAGTGACTCAGGGGAGCCTGTTTCTTTCCAAGTCCTGAGCCCCAGCATGGAGGAGGCTTTCTCTTTTTATATTCTCTAGGTCTCTTTGTCTCCTAAATATGGAATGGGCTTTCAGACCTTTTGTGGGCTTTCCAAAAAGCCCCATGTGTTGGGATGGGGGCAGTGGGACCACATCTTAAGGCCTGGCCTGGTGCCAGTGCTGGTAACTCCATCTGGGATGGTTTATGGCCTCTCTGAAATGGGAGTAGTATTGGATAAACAGGTCTTGCAGGACCAGATAATTAAAGGAGCAGTGACTAGATTCAGATTGCTAGGCCCTCCTCCCCCAAATGTCTCATTTTCTTCATCAATATAACATGCAAAGATGGTGAAGATGTTACTCAATTATATCTGGATTTACTAGGCCAAAAGGGAAGTTAAATGTGAGATATTTTTCACCTTTAATTCTTTCACCACCTTGTGATATGTTCATGTTTTACTCTTGTAGAAACAAGACTTGTCACGAAATTAGTAACAGCTGGTGCAAGCTCAAGGCCTCCATGACTCCCAGTACAAGCTTTTAATCCTCCCTGCTGGATCAGTTGCAGGCAGAATAATTTTGAAGGTTTTCTAGCCTGAAATTCTAGCAGGATTTCAAGTTGGACAATTACCTTCAGGATAGCATAGTCACTTTCTATTTTAAAAGAACTGTAATTTTAAGAAATTGAAACTTTCATTAGGTATTTGATTGAATAACCTCAGAGTAAGTATAGAGAATTCCTTCAGAGCATTCCCGAGGAAAGTCTTTTTCCCTGAAGGTTTTTAGCATAGAGAGCAGGAAGCTGGGGCTTACTGCTTCAGGTGACCACATGGACACATACTGTGTATGATTTAATTGGGCTGCCCCGGGCCTACTGCCACTTCCAAAATAATTTCATCATCACACATCTACATTATTAGACATTTCCAGAATTAGAAACCGATTTGAGTAAAAAATTGTCTCTTTAACTCTCTTGATAATCTGGAAGTGAAAGGAAACTGACTGAAATAATATTAAAACTTTTGCCTGAATGATTTGATTATATTTGCAAAACTTTGAAATAATAGGAAAAATACAGATAAATTATTAGGTGTACAAAGATATTTAACCATGCCTAGTATTTAGAAAAACAGCAAATACTGGTACATGAGAGAAAATCAGGGCTGAGATTTGGGAAAGGTTGAGGAAGAAAAGTGTGCACATGGTGACTCAATAAGAAATAATGCATTACAGAGGAGCAGGGCGGTGAAGAAAGGGAGGATGAGGCAGATTTGACCTGTCCTGATGTCAAATTCAATTGTGTGCAATCTCTCTGTTAAAATAACAGAAATAATGCAGAAGTATGACCAGAGGAGAAGCCAAGATGGCGGCATAAGGTAAACACTTAAATGCAGCCTACCACAACAATTTTATAATTATAACTGGAAAACAGAGCAAACATCGCCCTGAACCACCGGAAGGCTGGCTGAGTGAAAGCTTTGCCATCGAGGAAGGGAAGAGAAAGGACGCTGAGCCTCAGGAGCTGTGGATGTGCAGAGATCTGTGTGCAAGGAAAGGGTGGCCAGCTGAATATGCTGCTGGCTTACTTGTGGCACGAGTGGAGAGGGCGGGCAGCTAATGCATGGCTAGCTTTCTTGTTCGGAGGAAAACAAAACCTCCCTATTGCACTGATAGCCAGCTCCAGTCAAAGAGAGACTGGGCTCTAACCGGTTTGGCTCAATGGATAGAGCGTCAGTTTGGGGACTGAAAGGTCCCGGGTTCGATCCCAGTCAAGGGCATGTACCTTGGTTGTGGGCATATCCCCAGTAGAGGTGTGCAAGAGGTAGCTGACCAATGTTTCTCTCTCATCGATGTTTCTATCTCATTTCTTTCTTTTCTGTAAAAACATCAATAAAGTATTAAAAAAAAAAAAAAAAAGGAGAGATTGGACTGTCAGGCAGTGGGCAAAACTCTCAGAGGTGCACGTGGCCAGCAGCCATTACTGCGGGACTCAGGAACAGGACCCTCTTAAGGCAGGGCTGACGGGAAACCAAAGCTTGTCTACACCACCCCAAGACTCTGCCCCATCTAAGAGGAGCACAGAAGCCCTCCCTGTGGCTAGCTTTCTTGTTCAGGAGAAAAACAAAACCTCCTAACTGCACTGAGAGCCAGCTCTTGTCTGGGAGAAACTGACTGTCAGGGAGCAGGCAAAACTCAAGAACAGCCTTCCCCCAAGTGGCACGCATGCCAGCAGCCAGTGTTGCAGGACATGGCGAATACATAGGACCCTCTTAAGGTGGGGCTGATAGGAAACCAAAACTTGTCTGGGCCACCTGAGACTCCACCCTATCTAGGCGGAGCACAGAAGCCCTCCTAGCTGAGAAACTGCAGATCCTCACAGCCAATTGGCTTGAAGATCAACTTTCCCTAGTGATACCAACAACAAGCAAGGCTTAACAGCAAGACTGCACACACAGCTTCCAAAGGGCTGCACCAAGACTGCCCACCTTAGGTAACTGGGAAGGCTGAGCTACTGGGCCCTGCTAGGACACCTAGCACACAAAGCTATTCCATCAACTCAGGGAAACCAGCTAAAATGCAGAGAAGAGGCAGGCCACAAAGGAAGGAAATGGAGAAAAGCAAAAGAATGGACCTAGAGTTCAAAACCACAGTTATAAGGTTTTTCAAGAATTTCCTAAAAAAGGCTGATAAAATAAATGAGACCTTTGAGAATATGAAAAGGGCTCAACTAGAAATAAAGCATACACTGACAAATAAAAAAAATTATAAAGAGTCTTAAAAACAGACTGGAAGATCGCAAGAATCAAGTCAAAGATTTGGAACACAAAGAGCCAGAGGACACTCCTCTGCAGAAGCAAGAAGACAAGAGAATCCAGAAAGTTGAAGATAGTGTAAGAAGCGTCTGGGAAAACTTCAAGCAAACCAACATCAGAATTATGGGAGCTCCAGAAGACAGAGAGCAAGATACTAAAAACCTATTGGAAGAAATAGTGACAGAAAACTTCCCCATCTGGTGAAGAAATAGACTTAAAAGTCCAGGAAGCACACAGAAACCCAAACAAAAGGAATCCAAAGAGGAACACACCAAGACACACCATAATTAAAATTCCAAGAGCAAAAGACAAAGAGAGAATATTAAAAGCAGCAAGAGAAAAGCAGGTAGTTACCTAGAATGAAGCACCCATACGATTGCCAGCTGATTTCTCAACAGAAACCATGCAGGCCAGACAGGAATGGCAAGAAATATTCAAGATGATGAATTGCAAGAACCTACAGCCAAAAATACTCTACCCAGCAAAGCTATCACTCAGAATCGAAGGCCAGATAAAGAGCTTCACAAATAATAAAAGCTAAAGGAGTTCATCACCACCAAACCAGAATTATATAAAATGCTGAAAAGTATTCTTTAAGAAGAGGAAGAAGATAAAAATTATGAACAACAAATATGTAACTATCAACAAGTGAATCTAAAAACCAAGGGAATTAAAAAATCTGATGAACAATATTAACTGTTGAATATAATAGAACCAGAGGTATGGAAGGGGAGCGGACTGACGATTCTCAGGGAAAAGGGGAATGGGGGGTGCGGAAAGAGACTGAATAAAAATTGTACACCTATGGATGAGGACAGTGGGGGGTGGGGAAAGGGCAGAGAGGGGGTAGGAACTTGGTGGATGGAAAAAAAAAAGAACAATTGTAATAATCTGAACAATAAAGATTTATTTATTTTTTTTTTTAAAAGTATGACCACAGTCTGACTCTTATGGGTATTTTCTAGTTCTATAGTCTTAGGACATACAAAACTTCATTTCAGTTATTTTAACTTACACATCTCAGACAAGATGATCACAAACTTAAGGGAATTAGAGAAAGAGATACATGTGATATTAAAAACAAATAAACAAAAATTCTAAATGTCTTTCTTTGTAAAACATGAAAGTCTTACGATCATAAACCCAAATTCTGATAAAATCAAATACAATGGGTTATTACAGATGTGAAATTTATGTTCATCTTAAGCACCTGCTAGCTTAACATAGTTCCTGTTTCCAA